AATTTTTCGGTTTACCGAAGTTGGTTAATCAAACCCATTTAACCGACCATGCCCCACTCCTATTTGTGTGACGGAGATGAGCTACAAAATTAATTTCTTTATTGAACTATGTGACCCAAAATTGATAATAGGGAAGTCGCTATTTTGGTTCCTCAAACTAGTGTTTTATTCAGACATTGTCCCGGATGAATGTTGTGAATGTTTGAATAGTCGAATACTTTTTAAGATATATTTATAGAATATATAAATAATTCGTTGTTTTACTTCAAACAAACGTTTGTTAATTGTGGGTAGTAATTTAATTAAAGATAATATATTAAAAATTGACATTGAAAAGTAACACCTCACACATCAAACATTACATTGTAACACCTCACACATCAAACATTACATTGTTATGTTTTGAAAAACCTCCTTATAAACAATAATTACTGTCTTGATGAAGAAATTTGCTTCTTTTAAAAGCATGACTCTTAAGTCTTAAGGTGATTTTACTCATTACCCTTGGTATTGGAATGCACACAATTGGTCATTAATGAAACTTATCTCTCAAGGTATAAATCAAATTTTATGTGATAACATTTAATCTTGACTTTTATTGATTCATTGTATACCATCACAGGAAATTGCTTTCTTCGGAAATTAAACAAAGTTGTCATATGGTGAAACTAAATACTCTTTTGCTTAGATAAAAGTTGAAGTCTAAATATGGAGCATTGATAAATTTAGGGCTGGACTGAACCGGGCCGGTTCGGGCCTCGGGCCTGGCCCGGCCGGGCTTCGGTTCAGAATATTGAGGCCTGAGCCCGAACCGGGGGTGGCCGGTTCCGGGCCAGACCGGGCCGGTTCCGGGCCGGGCCACCCGCCCTATTTTTTTTTTTTTGGCTTCTTTATTTAATCCCCTACCCCTCTTCCTCCACCCCAAACCACCTCAAATGGACCAAAATACCTAATCTAACCCAAAACTTAAAAAATTTTCAAAAAAAAAATAAAAAAAAATTATTTCCGGCCCGGACTGGGCCCGAACCGGCCGGGCCGGTTCACCATATGGAAGGCCCGGAACCGGGAACCACCGGACCGGTTTGACCCGAACCGCCGGTGGACCGGGCCACCGGGCCGGGCCAGTTGCTACAGTGGCCGGGCCGTGCCGGTTCCAGGTCGGGCCGCCCGGCCCGAGTCCAGGCCTAGATAAATTGAACATTACAAAGTAAAGAAGCCAATATATGAAAGCAAACAAGTATGACGGTGTTAGTTACATCCGTGATTGGGTGGGTAACTTCCCCCTAAAAAAGTGGAATAGAGACATTTTTGCTCTAAAACTAACCTTTGCATTTTTATCTAGACCTTAATGGTCAATATGCACATTCTCCCTTACTAAACCAATGGAGAATTGCGGAAGCCACACACGCAGGCCCAGTTATGCTAGGTTTTTGCCGTTGTTCACCAATGGTAAACAATTGGCATCTCTTGGGCTTTCATTTAATCCGTGGCACCTTGCGACCATTCAGATCGCCTAATTGAAAATGAAATTAATTATCTCCTCGAATCTCGATAATCTAGAAAAGTTGAACACCGTAAGTAATATTTTCTTGTTCTATATACTTCTAGTTTAAATTATGTTTATTTCTTTACTCTGGTATGCAATTCTCTCTTCAAACATATCTCTCAAATTCTCTTCAATTGCCGCCTCAGACACTAAGCTTCTCGATTAATTCTTCTGTCTTCAACTACCACATACGAAATCTGTGAATGCCTTTTACAATTGCAGACCGGTAATTGAGTTTGCCATTTTGGGGTTCTAGTCCTGACTTTGATGAATTTTAATTACAAGTTGTCATTAACCAGATTCAGGGCTAATGTTTTTAAACATTTAACAGTAAATCTGTTTTGTATATCAGATATTGTTGATTACATATAACTGGTTGTGTTTCTTTTTAGCTAATATCCAGGCCGTCCTGGTAGATAGTTTCAAACTTTCAATCTTCATTTAAAATGTTTCCAAAATTTTAAATAATATCGTTAAAATACGGCTGATTTGAGGGAACATTTATTGATTTTTTTTTGTTTGTATTTTTTTGTATGAACTATGATGTACCATACTTGATGTATTGATTTATATGAATTTGCTTTTGCAATAAATTTTTTGACCTCAAGGGCCCATTTTTGTTATATGTCCCGGGTCCTCAAAATGTCAGGACCGGGTCTGGATGTAACTTGCGCACATGAAGATGTTAACCGCACATTAGAAGATGTAACGTCATGTATGATCAAATGTAATTCCAAGAATAGTATACAAATGTAACTCACACATGGAAATGTAAACCGCACATGTAGAAATGTAATATCATGTTTTACCAAATGTAAATCAAAATAAACAAACTCGATGTCTTAAAATCCTCTAAAAGAGATAAAATGTAAAGAGTATTTTAGCAAAAAGTGTATAAATATGAAAACATATATTGCAAAAAAATGTATGAATGTAAAAAAATATCACAGAAAAAATAGTATAAGAATATGAAATGCAATATACTTATTTTATATAGATTAATGAAATTTTTGTTATGAATTTGTTAAGAATAAAAACATAGATTAAGGTTTTAGTAAAATTGGTGAAAGAAAAGTAATTGGTATGAATTAGTAAATACATTTGGAAGTTGAGGATAAAGAAAAGTAAAATTGCAATTAAACTTTAGGGGGCGGAAACCCAGATGCCATAAGAGGCCCCAAATTCATGGGCTTGGTCTAGGGCTCTGCCGAATGAGAATATAGGATGTTAGGAAGTTTTTGCTTGGACTGGATTCAGTTATAGACCAAACTACATTAGACCGGATTGGATTTAAATAAATCAAACAAACTTTAACAGATCATGCAAGATCAGACTTCTATAATTATAAAAAAAAAATCAGATATCTATCAGACCAAACAAGATCAGACTATATTTAAACAGACCAAACTAAACCAGATCTCAAAAATTAATTCAAATAAAAAGATCCTTATTCAAAACTAGTAGACTATAGACTCTTCACCCCATGTCAAAACTGGGTAGCAGAGCTGGTTTTTAGCACGTTCAACATGTTCTACAAAACAAGGCCTCCCGTTTTCCGGGGTCCCCATTTTTAATAAAATTATTAGTATTACACAGTTATAATATATATAAATACTAATCAATAAAATAAAGACTGCTTGTCAGTACTTTTACCCATGTTTTACTCAAATTAATTGAGTGATGAGTTGTATTGTTTTAAATCAAGTATTGAGTGAATTTTAGATTTTTTATTACATTATTTGATGAGTATTCAATTGATTTCAGTATAAGTATTTAGATTGAGTTTTTATTTTTATTTTTTATGTTAATATGAGGCCTCGATTTTACGTTTGGAACCGGGCCTCCAAATTCATTAGACAGCTATGTTGGGTGGGCAACTAAACTAACCAAGCTAAACACAACCACAATGGGGTCAAAACTCGACTATTTACATAATGAAAACGGTAGATCGTTATTAGACAATTGACAATTCCCAAATTGAATGTTTGATATGTAGCTTAGTTAAATAGTAGTTGAAATTAGTCCAACATAAATATTAGATATACATGTCATATATATTATAAACTTGTATTTTTACGGATTTAGTCGAAGGGTTTTCACAACAGTGGCTGCTTCGAATGAGGCCCTGTGCCTTACCCTCACACCCGGCTTAATATCAAGATTTCATATCACCCGTTTTAAGTTTAAATATTGCTAATTTTTTCAGTAGTCATAACATTTTACTCGTAATGAATTACAAGAGCCACAATTTATCAAATTGAATATATTTCAGAGCTTTATACTCTCTCAGGGTTCGTTTGACGATCTTGACCCCCTGGTTCCTCCCCTGACCTTGGCAAAGGTTCATTGTTTGACTGGATATAGTTTGCACCTTGGCAAAGATTCCTTCATTTAAATAACACGTATATGTGACTTGAGTGTCATATTTCGTGTGCATATTTCGTGTGCATATTTCCTTCATTTTTTTGTCAACACGTATATTACTTCTGCATATATGTGTCTAACACATATTCTTTCATTTAATTTCGTGTGCATATTTCGTGTGCATATTTCGTGCCATGAAATCGTCACATAAGGTCACGTACTCAATAAAGTGTCATATAAATGCGTTTACTAGTAAAAAACAATCAAATAAGTCCTAACGACCTATTTACAACCTCTTAATCCCGATTTTAGTGTTCTTGAAATCATCTTTTTATAATAGATTATACGCCACACGTCGAATATTTACCTAAGATTGGTTGAATTACAAGTAAAAAAAATTGACACGTAGGCTAATATCAGGATTAAGAGGTTGTCAAAGGGTCATTAGGACTCATTCAATTGTTTTTTATAAGTAGACATATTTATATGACACTTTATTGAATATATGAGTTTATGTGATGATTTCATAATAGTAAAAAGCTTTATTTGACTCTTTAAAAAATCAGTTAGTAACTTTTAATGAAGACATTAATCTTCATAGTGGTGTCAAACATAGCCAAGGAACAATTAGGATGTTTTTACTTGAACTGTAATTTGCCCCAGACCAGACCAGACCAGACCAGACCAGTCCAAACCAGACCAGACCAGTTCAGACCAGACCAGAGCAGACTTGGATAGTTATAAAAATACAAAGAAACCAGACCTTACCAGACCAGACCAGACCAGACCAGTTCAGACCAGACTAGACCAGATTAGACCAGACCAGACCAGCAAATTACAGTCCAAGTAAAAACATCCTTATTACAATATTTCTATTTTAACTTGAATTAAACCACATATCCTTATTAATTACGTAGTATTAAACCTAAAAGTTGCAACATTCTCGTTAAGATTCAAACGAATCTATTACGGAGTGCATGATTTTCGGAGTGACAATAATAATACGACTATAATAGGACTCCGTACGAAACATGTCAGCCCAAAACGGGTAATTCATTTTTACCATGAAACAATTTCCTGGGAATTTCTTGCGGAATTGATGGGTGAGAGGGCACCAAACCTCCTCGCTATATTTCTTCCGCTGAGATTTTGTGATTTTGATAATAAATAAATAAATAAATAATGCACCGACCACTGAGCACAACCCGACCAATCCAAGAACAAAAGGAAGACGATGCATTTATGTTTTTTCTAAAAAGAAGAAGAAAAGGAAGAACAACAAAAAACTTCTTAAATTCTTTGATCGATTCATCAAGAAATATAATCTTCTCGGTCCCCGCTTGAGTCAATCCAACTGTACGTTATTAAATATATTCGAGCTGGTCCTGTTTCTAGATTATGTATCCTGATTTCAATAAAGATCTGTTTTTTCTTCTTCTTTTCGGGCTTGTTTACATTAGCATTCATCTGGATTTTTAATTTCTTATTTGCTCTTGATTTTATATCATATGTTTGAGCATGATTTGTTTTATTATTATTATTTGATTGAAAGAACTCTGGAAATGACCCCCACTGTGATTATTTCAAATTTTGTGGAAATCCTTACTTTGGGTTTTATAATTATATGCTATGCCTTTGGTTTTTAGCTTTGAATTTGGAGCTTACAGATTTTTTATAGCAATTTGGTCTTGGGTAGTAAATATTCGATTCACCCGGTAATCCAGTAATAAATTTTGAATGTCCTTACAAATTGTGATTTCAGGCCGTACCTAAATTTTGATTCCTGTCTGGTTAACATGTTTTTTGCTCTCTTTTTTGTTTTGTTTTATATTGGTTTCTCTTCTATGTGGTTTCTTTCAGAGGAACTAATCTGCTCAAGGGGGGGACATAAATACGTTACAGCCTCTTCCTAGGATGACAATTGAAAACGTTAAACATAGTAATAAAGAAAGGAATCCAAGGAAGAGCAATGGATTTGGGGTTAATGAGAAGTCGCCGCTGTTGCCTAGTAAGAACGAGGAAGGTTCCGGGTTCGATGAGTTCAATGGGGCTTCTTTTAGCGGAGCTGTTTTTAATTTGTCAACCACTATTGTTGGGGCTGGAATTATGGCATTACCTGCAACTATGAAAGTTTTGGGTCTTATCTTGGGGGTCGCTGTGATCATAATCATGGCATTCCTGACAGAAGCTTCAATTGAATTTTTGCTAAGGTTTAGTAGGACTGCTAAATCAACTTCTTATGGAGCTGTTATGGGGGATGCGTTTGGGAAGTACGGGAAAATGATGCTCCAAATATGTGTCATGATCAACAATGTTGGTGTGCTTGTTGTCTACATGATTATCATAGGTATGAAACAGCTCTTCACCATTTTTGCCACTTCCCATCCCAGAAAAGAGTCCTATTAAAGATTTGTTTTTTCATGATAGATTTGTCCTATACTCCTATTTGGACAAAAGAAGCTATTTTTCATTATATCTACAGTATTCTATTTTCCAGAGTTGTCCCAAGCAATATAAGTATATAAAATCTAGTTAAGCCGACAAATTAGTTTTAAAATACAGGTAAAAATCCTGTAAAATAATTGATTATTTTCACCATTTGTACTGTACTAAAGTTAGACTCATACCTTAGTGATTATTTCCAATAGGTGTACCGTATTATTAAAGTAAAAAGACCCCTTTTTGTATGGAGGTAGCAAATTCTTTATTTTTATGAATAATATCCATTTATAACATTTTTTAGTTATTGGTATTCTTTTTGTGATTTCAAATAGGTGATGTGCTTTCTGGAACAACCGAAAGTGGAGTTCATCACAATGGTGTTCTGGAAGGGTGGTTTGGGATGCACTGGTGGAATGGGAGATTCTTTGTCCTTTTGGTTACTACTATTTGCATATTTGCACCACTGGCTTGCTTAAAACGCATAGGTAATTTTTTAGGAAATAAATGCTTGAAACCATTTGCTAAAAGCTGTTACCGAAAGTGTTAAAATCTTCATTGCTCTCATTAATTCCAATAAATTGAATTTATTTTTTGTTTTTCTATACATACAGAGTTGTTGAGAGCTATAAATAGAATTAACTCATAATTTAATATAAGAATGGAGTGTTTGGTATTTCTTTCCCCACTTGTCCTATTTGAATTGTGATCATATCATGCCCGCCTAATCAAGTAATCATTTATTGTTATTGCAGATTCATTAAAATTTACATCTGCACTGTCAGTTGCACTGGCTGTTGTTTTCCTTGTTGTGACTGTGGGAATAACCGTATACAAGATTATAAATGGAACTATTGTGAAGCCCAGATTGCTTCCAGATGTTTATGATCTGACTTCATTTTTAAGGCTATTCACTGTAGTCCCTGTCCTTGTCACAGCTTATATCTGCCACTATAATGGTATGCAATATTGGTGTGAATTTTTTTCTATATTTAACCCACTCGAGTTTTGATTTTGTAAGAGGCATCAAAACTGTTAAAAATGTGAATCCGTTTCGAACACGACAAGTAGTAGGAAAAGAAACCAGTAAGGAAGAGAAGAAGATAATTGGAAGTAAAGGAAATTAGGGAGGGGGGGGGGGGGGGGGTATATGTGAACAACCGCAATAGTTTTTATTTTGCTCAAGCTCATTTTATTATGTATTTCATTATAAAAAGACAAAAAAAATCTGAATATATCTGGATATTCCTAAGAAGTTGCTTACCTAATAAAATTCCAAGGTCACATAATTGCTATTAGTTTCTTGTTGAAAAGCATATTCCAAGGTGAGGCCAAGCATTATAAACTAACTTTCTTTGACAGTTGCCCCCTTGCCTAGCATTTTGGGGATCCAAACATACCATGAGTTAAGGTTGTCAATGAATCTTAAAATCTCATGATTATGCTGGTAGAAATGCTAAAGGTATGTGTGGATCATCACGAAGAATGCTAGGGACAGGAAATATATTGCTAATGAAAATTAAATTCTTCTGTTTGGTTAAATCCTGGAAAATTCAAGGGAAAGCAAAATATGATTAGGTTTCTTACATGAATTTATATTTTGTATCTTTAAATAATAGGCATAAATAAAGCTAGTACCCACAAAGTTTCTAATATAAATTCTGTTGAGTTTTATCATATCATTTATTTACTCCCACATTTTTTTCATTATAGTTTTCCTATATGTCCTCCCTCCCTCCTAGCATTTTCTGAGTTGCAATCAAACCCTAAAAATAGTGAGTTTCCTTCAGAAGTTGCAATGATCAACTATACTGAATTTTCTTTCAAAAAATTATAAAGATTTCGAAGCTCTTGAGGTATTCATGTTGATAAAGTACATGAGCACAGAATAACACCGATATTAATGGCTCCTAATAATAATAATAATAATTAATTTTTAACTCATATCCTGATAGACCAGGCAGATTCTTGAAGAATACCCCTTTTTTGATAATATAGTATTTTTCAGTTCATACCATTGACAATGAACTCGAGGACAACACACAGATAAAAGCAGTGGTTAGGGCCTCACTCACGCTTTGCTCAAGTGTCTATGTATTAACAAGCATCTTTGGATTCCTCTTGTTCGGCGATGAAACTCTTGATGATGTTCTTGCAAACTTCGACACTGATCTTGGAATCCCATTTGGTTCTGTTCTCAATGACATTGTCCGTGTCAGCTATGTTGCACACTTAATGCTGGTCTTTCCTATCGTCTTCTATCCATTGAGGCTCAACTTGGATGGTTTGATCTTCCCATCTTCAAGGCCTTTGGTGCTTGATAATGCGAGGTTCGGATTGGTTAGTGGTGGGCTTATATCTGTCATCTTCCTGGGTGCAAATTTCATTCCCAGCATTTGGGATGCTTTCCAGTTCACAGGAGCAACGGCTGCTGTTTGTGTTGGGTTCATATTTCCTGCTGCTGTTACGCTTAGGTAACTCTCTATTAACTTGTGACTGAAGTTAATAGGAAAAGCACCTTATCTTGTGCGGTTGTGCCTTTGGACTTGCATGTTTTACTATTGTCCTTTCCAATCTTATATATTTATATTTTTAGAGAAAACTGTCAAATAAGCCCCTGTACTATACCAGAGAAGTCAATTAAACCCTCCTACTTTGAAAACACCCAATTAAACCCCCAAACTTCTAAAAAACGTTCAATTAGACTTTTTATCAGGTTAAGAACCGGTTTCCCGGTTGACTGCTCACGTGGCAACCCCGTGGCAGGCCACATGACGATTATATTCTTTTTTCCTTTATTTTTCTCCTTTTTTCTTTTCTATTTCATTTTCTATTTCTCTTTCCTATTCTTTTGCTGGTTCTCCTCTTCCCAGACTTATGTATCTGCCTCCCTGGCGGCTTTATTGTAAACTCAGGTGGCTTTCTCCCTCATATCCAAGAACCTGAGCAAACACGGCTCTTCTTGTCGCGACCTCCGACGAACTCCGCAAAGGGGCGGCAAATCCAGTGAAGGGGGCTCCTCTCTATGCGAACAGGAAAAGTCAACGGAGCTGGTTCCGACTGCGGCCATTTGACCCTGTTGTTTTAGGCTCAAATCGAGAAGCAAATTGAGAATCTCAATTTGAGATCTTCCGGTACCGAAGCAATTTGAGAATCTCAATTTACTTTGGCGGCTTCTTCCGCCGAATTGAAGGTTCAGAGCAAACGTGCGGCTGTTCTTGCCATAATCTCCGGCGAACTCCGGCAGCAACTTTGGCGACGACACCCTCTCTCCGGCGAAGGAAGCCTCTCTACTCTCTGTCAATGGAAAAAAAGAAACAACGAAACAAAGAGAGAAAGAAATCACGAAAGGAAAAGTGAAAAACAAAGAGGAAGAGGAGTGAAGAGGGGAAGTAAGGTCCCTGGGAAGATGAATATAAGGAACGACAGAAAACCAGAAAAGAAAAGGGAAGACAAAAAAAGAAGGGAAAAAGAAAAAGGAGAAATAATAAAGAAAAAAGAATACAACTGCCATGTGGCCTGCCACGTGGCTGCCACGTGAGCAGTCAACCGGGGAAACCAGTTTTTAACCTGCTAAACAGTCCAATTGAACGTTTTTTAGAAGTTTGGGGGGTTTAATCGGGTGTTTTTAAAGTACGAGGGTTTAATTGACTTTTCCGGTATAGTACGGAGGCTTATTTGACAGTTTTCTCTTATTTTTATTATACTCTATAAAGATTAAGAAATCTAATCATATGAAAAAAACTTTAATCACATTTCATGTTTGTTTCTTTGCATTGTCTATGATAAAACAAAACACAAGAATTTTAAAACAATTCTTAGCATTGTAGTCCTTTCTCTTTCCGATATCCAAACACACCATATAGTATGGTTATAAGTTATGACAACAATTTCACATTAAACTGTCAACTAAATGGTGAACCTGGAGTGAACTTGGCATTTTTCTTTCGGGGGGAAGGGGCCAATCTACTAAAATATATTTAGAAATCCTGGCATAGCATTTGACTATATAGTGTTTTCATGTTTCAGGGATAGGTATGGCATATCAACAAGAAAGGATAAGATATTATGTACCTTTATGATAGTCCTGGCAGTGTTATCAAATCTGATCGCTATATACAGCGACGCCTATGCGTTGTTTAAGAAGAAAGCATTGGTGCCCGCATGATTGCAGATACGTGATCATATAATATACGGAGTATATATTTGTATAGGGAAAGTAGCAATTTTTATTGGAACTGATGATGATTTTGAATAAAGATGAATATGCATTCTGCTCAATATTGAGCTGAGCAGACAGCAGTGCTACCAAAAATGCATGTATGTAGTAGAGTTTGTTTTGTATTATTAGAAGGTTGCAATGTACTAATAAAAAATGGAGTATTTGTTAGTTAATTGCGCATTATCATTCAAGTATCAATTGATTTTTTTATTTTTTAGTTTATTCAGAAATATCAATTTAACTCCCTCTATTGATATCTGTTAGGTTAAAAACAAAAATATCAAATATTTCACTTACATTAATTTATTAAGATGTTGTTCATTACTCCATATGCTACGAAATATAATATTATCTGAGTTTTGCCAGAATTCTAAGATATATAAAGTGGTAATGTGGAAAACATAAAATGTCTGAGATTCATACTAGGAGATGATTTTGCAAGTGTTTTTATAAAACAGGGCCGATGAAATGTTATTTAGGGTATTTTTACTTGATTTGTTTTCTGTCTCAGATAAGTTCAGAACGGACTAGATTTAAATTTATGAGTAAAAACATCTTAATTAAAGAATCGTATGAATAGCTCACAAAGAGAAATTATAACACAAATATATACCCATCAAAGACAAAATATACAGTAATACATTCCGTTATTCACATTTCACTTTCTTTTTTAGGACATTTCCAAATTATTGTCCAACTTTTTTTTTTTTAAATTTAATTTACTCAAAAGAATGATACAATACATTAATACTCTGTATACAAAGAATTATTTGTAGTATATATTTTAATTTCCAAATACATATTTGGAAATTATTAGTACAGAATCAAAAAGTCATTTTCACATCTTTACAAAAACTTTCACATGAAAGGGAGGGAGAGAGAATAGGAAAAGACTGACGGAAATGAAAGATGGTTGTTACCTGCTTTTCAATACTTCAAGATCTGGTTGATAAGAAAGAAAAGGAGATGGTGAGAGTGAATCACAGCAATAGAAAATTAAAATCGAATTTTAAGGATTTCTTTGAAACTACCTAACAATAAGCAATGCAATGGCTAATCGCAAATCTCTCGTGCGAAGAAAAGAACATTTGAACCTTTCAATTTTACTCACTTTTTAGAATTCTAGCCTTGACCCGTTTTGCAAGCCATTGCTAATTCATCCCTTAACTTAATACATTCGGCATTTTATGGCCATTTATAACATTACGTAGCATAAAATGATCTTTCTGTGAATGCAAGTCTGCAAGGTGTTTGATTGAGTGCCCCTTTCACAAAATCCTGCTAGATTTTTTTATTCAATTATTATCCACAGAGGGTATCAGCTGGAGAGAATTTGAAAGAGTGATTATGCAGGTACCTTATAAAGAATTAAACAAGAAGAATTGAAAAATGGAGGATAACTCAGGAGCCCCAGGAAAAAAACATGGAACCACCACTCGCCGGCGTTATCTAGCCAGAGAATTTGGTTCCAGGTTCAGGTCGCCCATTGATCTATCTGCTAGGCGTAGCCTTTCCCCAAATCTCAGGCAGGCAGAAGTGATTTCAGTGAGTGGAAAAACATCACCCGGGGCTTTGTCAGATCATGTGTTGAAGCAACCAGCAAATGCCATCCAGAATCAGACCGAACCACTAAGAAAACTCTCACCTGAAAAGAAGAGAGTTTCTCTTGAGGGAAACAGTTTTGCAGATCAAACAGAAAAATCTAGACCTTCAGATGCTTTTTCTTTGAATTATAGGACGGATCATCATAGACAGTCAAACACGTCAGATGGCAAACCTTCCTCAGAATCAATGGAAAAAGGTATTCATATGAGAAAAGAGGAAAAAGTAAACACGTTGATACATCACCTCTTTCAGGATCAGAAGCACTTTCTTACAAAGACTGTCTTTGGATGCAGCTAATGGACCAACCCAAGATGAACCTTCAAGACCGCTACCATTTGTTAGAAATGAGAAACAAGGCATTGGGTTTCTCTCAGTTGATGATAATTCACTGACAATAAGGAATGGATCACCAACTGGAGGAAATGCGCAATCTTTGTCAATGACAGCGAATACCAGATCATTGAGTAGTCTACACTCTGAGCTCCTGGACAGGTGGCCAAGTAGAACATGCGGGAAAGCAAGTTCTGATTCTTCAAATAGAGGTAAAACCGATGAGCTTTCCAGACCACTACAGAAATTTTCGACAGAAGGTGTGAGATTTTTTCCAGAGAGTTATAGTTCAACAGGCAGTTCAAATTGTCAGCGGTTAAATCAGAGTAGATGGCGAAGAACAACAGGAGAGAACGTAAGGGTTGGTTCTTTTTCAATAGATTCTCAGCCATCACAAAGAGACAAAACATCAACTGTATATCCTGGCTCTCTATCTCGCCATACCTCACCAATCAGAACGCCTACATTGCCTCCCTCGTCATTGCCTATAAGAGTTAATCCATCTGACATGAAGGCTATAACAACTGGGGCATCGATCTTTTTAGCTAAATCACGAGCATTGTCATTGGACGGAGCTACTAAACCACTCCAAAGCTCATCTGTTGACATGCTATCACTAATACTATCAAATGAACGTTCAGAAGCAGACTCGGGGATTCAATTGGTTGGTAATAGTTCGATGGAACTTGAAAACAAAAGAAAACTATCACTTGATGATAATTCTTTGTCCATACCTAGGGAAAGAGCAAAGTTGGTGAATCGTGGAACTAGATCTCGTCCTACCTCGCCTAATAAAGCATCTGCTATGTCTTTCTATGTATCTAAAGAAATCTCGTCTCAAACAAAGGCTCTACCAAGTGCTCCATCAAGAGGAGCTAGTCCTTCTAAGGTTAGGCCATCTAGCCCGTCGAGACTTCCCAATCCAGCCTTCAATTTTGTGGTGAATATAAGGGAAAACGATGAAAATCGTCAAACAGAAGATGCTCATCGACTTGGACTATTACAGAATAGATATTTGCAATGGCAATATGCTAATGCGAAAGCAGATGCTGCAATACTTGCAGAGAATGTTAATACACAGGTTGGCTCTTATTTTCTGAGTATTTCTTATTTATCCATTCCAATATACTATTTGACCAGGTTTTAGTCCGATTTCGATTTTGGCTGCAGGAAAAGGTGTATAATGTACGAAAAACTGCTTCAAATTTGTGGCAAACAATCATTCAGATGAGAATTGAGCTTCAACAGCTGAGGTTAGAGTTGAAGTTATGGTCAATTTTGAATAAACAGGTAATGATCTTTCTGAAATTTTGTTCCTTATAGATAGAACCATTGTTCGTTACTATGACTACTGTCTTACTGGCATAGTTTTGAAACTGCTTCAATGTGCATCAGATGTCCTGTCTCGAAAAATGGGCTACAATTGAAAAGAACCATATACGTTCAGTTCTGCGAGCTAGCCAAGATATGAAAGCATGCGTTCTGCTTCTTCCCATGACATTAGGGGCAAAGGTACGGTACACAATTTCATTAATCAATATTCATTTAAAGTTGATGGGTTAAACAAGAAATGCATGTATACAAAATACATTTTATACTTTATCTGCTTGATATAGGGTGATGTTCAAGCTGTAAAGTCAACTATTTGCTCAGCTTTTGTTATCATGCAGCATGTGGAATCATCAATATATTTAATGCTCTCGCAAGTGAGTATCATAAATTATTCCTTGCGATCACATCTATGATATTTCCCCATAATTTAAAATAGTAGTTTTACTAATTCCAGATAGGCCATTTTATGATCTTTAAAGTAAAAAAATCCTCAGATGTTTTACTACAAATGATAGCTTTGGAAATTTAATTAACAAACACGCAGCTAACACCCAGGTGCTGGACTACGAACTAAATGTATAAATGTATTTTGTCTTCTACATTACAAAATACAAGAGGCTGAATCTGAATAATCTAATTACATGATGCATGCAATTATATGGTCTCTTTTTCCTTCTTTTTGTTTTTGGGGGCGTGGGCCGCGTAGATGAGCCAATGAGTTACATTTCAATGGCACTGTGGTGTCAGTTGTGGCCTATGTGGGGTTAGGTTTAAATAATTTTAAACACTTATTCTTTACAACAAAGAATAAGTGTGTATTTAAACCTAAAATTTATCTAATTTGGGGATTTGGCATTTCATCTCATGCATGTGACAGCTAGAGGGAACAAGCTCTATGGTTGCTGAACTTGCTGGCATTGTGGCACAAGAAAGAGCCATGCTTGATGAATTTGAATTATTAATGGCTCCAATAGCAAAAATGCAGGTGATGTTACAAATTTGGTTGCATACGTTGTCATGTCCTGGCACCTCCCTGTCTAGTGCTAGTTTTCACATCTAGTTTAGTCATATTTCACCAGGATTTTGGCTTTAAAAAATTCTAATAACAAATATGATTTTTCAATACATGTATTTGAAAAAGCTACTGGGTATATACAAAAGCAGTGCTTCAAAACCATACTTTTAGAAATGTTGGAAGCAATATGCCTTAACATATGGTCACGTTTAGTTCTTGTTGATTATTTAGAAACGGCAAACAATGACAAATATGTTGGGGAAGCTGGAGAAGCATAATACTCCATATATACTTCTTTAGTGTGCACAAAGTATGTTTCACTTGATTTCCTGTAGTTACTTAGCTGCTTGTCATTGAACATGTGTGAGTTAGAAATAAAAGCGAGATTACTCTGTCACTATAAGATCTGTTTGGAGCTTGGAAAGTGCTATATATGGGGGATATTTTTGAAGGAAGAAAATGTGGGGGGGGGGGGGGGGGGGGGGGACAACATCCACTCAAACTCAACAAGTTATGTAGCATTTTTTTGTGTGTTCAGAGTCATTTTTATTTATATATTTATTTCCTTCTATTATTAAAAGACTAAGAATTTTAAGCATATGCAAAAAAGTTAAAACAGTAATCATATTTTATTCTCCTTTGCATTTTTAGAGGTAAAACCAATCACAAGAAAATAACTTTCTAGCTTCCCCTAGCATTTTCTGGGATTTGGACATACCAATAGTGATAAATATCTAGCAATGAGACAAGTCTACAACATTTTGCATCATGGTGATGTCGTAGTCTTGGAAACAAAAAGTTTGGTTTTCCCTTTCCTTGATTCATCTGTGATGTACATTAAAATATAAGTTCACATGACTATGGAAAGTAGGCAAAGTCATATTGTTTATGGACCCAATATATATTGGTTTC